GAACCGTTCAGGATAACCACTTTCTCTGAGGACGTCCTTAATTTTTGTTAGTTCCTCATCTATCACATTGTCAGAGCAGATCTTTTGCGCTCGTGATGTGAGACTCTGAATTAAATTTCTTTTCTGTCTGAGTGGGACGAAGCTGTAAAAGTGGGTGTATTGTCCCGTCCACGTTGGTTTTCTATAATTCGTCGTTGTTGTTTCTATAGGTATGTGCGAAATTCATCACTCTCAAAGCACGGACCATGATCCGTGAGGATGGCTTGCGGCACACCATGATTTGCCACGATATGCTCAACCACAACTCTGCTTTTCGTAGCGACTTTTCGATCCGCGATTCCTACAAATTCAATCCAGCGCGTTAAGTGCTCCGTCACTACAACGATTTATTGGTGTCCTCTAGGGGATATCGGAAATGGACCCATGAGTTCGATGGACCATAACTCGCCGATCTCAGATACTGGTATTGACTGAACTGAACATTGTGATGGGCGGGAGTCTAAATTGAAAAGTTTGCATTTTTGCACATGTCAGCACCTGATTTGTAACTTCAGCCTACATATTTGGTCAACTTACCCGCTGTCGAAGCAGATCGTAGGTTCGAGCGCGTCCAGTTTGTGCCAGTTTATGACTTACTTTGATGAGAATTTGGGACAGCTGTTTCGGGATGACGACCACAGAACACCTACTTCCTGGCTGTTGTTTCATGAAGATGTCAGCGACATTCAGATAAAGCTACTTCCAAACGGATTTTCATAACTTCATGTGTGTGCCATGTTGCACGGTTCGGTATTGCTTCCCTTTTGAGTTTGCTTCGATCACATTGAAGAGTTGTTGATCCTTATGCTGCTCCTTCACCAATTCGTGCGGGTCTTATCCCATTGTCAGGAATCTGTTTCCTCCTGAAGAGACAAAATATTCGCCACACAGTTTTTGTCACCTGCAGCATGATTGATCGTGAGGTCGTACTCCTGCAGTCGAAGCGCCCAACGGGCTAGATTTCCTCTCGGGTCCTTGGCGGTTTTATTCTACTCCAGAGGTTTTGGGTCTGTTTCCATATAAAACCTTTGACTCCGTAGACATGGTCGCCACTTATGCACTGCCCAGACGACAATCTTTTTCCGTGGTGGAATACTTACTTTCCGTTAGAGTAAGGACCCAGCTTGCGTATTTAACTACTCCACTTGCTTGTTTGAGTATGGCTCCCACACCAACGTCACTGGCATCCGTTGCAACTGTGAAGCGCTTACCAATCACCGGCAACTTCAGTGTCAGGTATTATTCGGTCATGATCCTTTGGAGTTTATCGAAGACTTTTTGGGCTTCTGGTGTCCATCGGAAACGATATTCTTTCTTGAGCATGGCGTATAACGGTCCAGCGATATTCGTAAAATTCTTGAAGAACCGGCTATAGTATGCGGTGCAGCCCAGAAACCGTCTTAATTTTCTTTTCGCTGTTGAGCCTGCAAACTCCTTTGACTTGCGGATCTTCTCAGGAAGTGGTTTCACTTATCCGTTTCCAACCTTGTGTCCAAGTAGAGTCATTGTCGGCTTCTCTATTTGGGACTTCTACCCATTAATCCGAAGGACAGATTCTTGGATTCTTTTCAGGACGTTTTCCAAATGGAATATGTGTTCGATTGATGTTTGATTGTAAACTACAAATCGTCACCATACACCACCACATTGGAGACACGGTCGAGTAAGCTCATCATGAAGAGGTGGAATGTAAATGGTGTTCCCGATGGTCCGAATGGCATTCGTTTGAATTGATATTATTTATTGCCGACTGTCAACGCCGTTTTCTCTCGATCGGCGTTCTTTATTTGTACTTGCCAATATCGCGATCGTAGATCCACAACTGAGAATACTTTCGCGCTTTGTAGTTGGTCAGAAATATCTGCTACAGTCGGAACTTGGACTGGTTTGTTTATAGTCACAGTGTTTACTTGGCCGAAATCCACATAGAACCGAAATTTGTCATTGGGCTTTTCGACTAGCAGCACAGGTGAGTTATACTGACTGAGTTTCTTCAATGATTCCTTCGTTCAACATTTGTTCAACCTACCGCTTGACGTCGTCCTCCGAGTGTAGCAGAATTCGGCGTGAAACATAAGACCGAAATTTTCCTGTCTTTATTGGAATTTCATGTTCAATCCAGAACCCGTACGGGTCATCATCGACTGTGAACAGATGGGAGTTTGGTTGCACCACTGACCGAAATGACGGCGACACATTCGTCTGAGTTGTTTCTATACTCACAGCTGACAACCTCTTTTTTACATAACAGCGGGGTCGTGCCGAATTGGGTAACATGCCGTTCGTTGTTCAGATCAACAACGGCCCTTATATTGCGCGAGATATTTGCTCCCACTATAGTCTGGCTCTTGTTTTTTGATAAGATAAACGGATAGTTCATTATCTTATTTCCGATGCGGCGGTTCGTTTGGCAACTCCGTCTACCTTCAACTGGTAAACATCGACTGATTTCACAGCCGTATTCCCTGTTTTTACAGGCTTACTTTCTTAGGGGCCTTCCCGACGATATTGCTGCACCCGTATCGACTGGGCTTGAGTTGCACCGCTCTACTGCTCTACTGCTCTTATTATAGCCTTGTTTGGGAAGGCGGGCGTGTTTTGCCTAAACTATTTTGTGGAGAGAATGTTTATCGTGTCCTTCTAGGCAATTCTTCTGCCAACAGCCCAGCTTGCCACACTGAAAGCACACACTCCTGTTCTTTCTTACTCCGCAGTTTAACTTCAGTGCCGCCACTTCTTCTATCAGCTTTTTCAGGGCTTCCGTAACATCTTCTGGCGTCTGTCCTTTCGGGACTTTGTGAGTCCGCAAAGTCGAAACTTTATGATCAGTTACCTGCCTCATGGCCTCAGCCAGCGTAAATAAATCCATGGCACGCCTTGCCTTGACTATTCGTGCCTTTTCCCGAAGATTGTCCGGCAGGCCCTCCACGAGACGATCCAGTAATAGCTTTAACCGAGCAGCGTTGATCAAATTTGGTAGTGCTCGATCTAACAGGGTGCGCACGTCCACGGCGTCCGACAGGGGCCCGCGATAACTCCAAACTGCGCCGTCTGAAAGCTTCGCAACGCCTTCTGGTGGTCGGCCGGGGTGTCGAAACCCGCGATCAGGGCGTCCTTCTTGGCGACCCACTCCATCTTCTCCGGGCCTCTTCGCACCGCATCCAGTACCGCCCACTACCGGTCCTTCAGAGGCGCTTGGAGGGCCGTCAACCTACCCCTGTCTGACCGTATCCCCGCCAGCTCCGCGACGTCCTCAAACTCCTCCAGGAACTTCCGCGAGTCTCCATCCTCGAGAGCCTCAGGCCGCGGAACCTTCATCCTGATCCTGGAGGCGGAACCAGTTTTTATAATTCTAAAAAGCGATGTTCGGTCGAGGACAGTTTTCTATTGAGGATTGCAGATGGTAATTATTAATTTGGTATACATAACACGCAAATCTCATCAGAAACATAACATCGCAGTTCCTGGCCGTGAATGTAACAATCGATAGTTATTCTTTGAGATATAGCAATTTGCTCTCGGTGATCTTGTTGATTTTTTGTCGTTGAAATGAATCATCAACTATGTTACCTACTGCTCACAACTGTGAATAGTACCTCTCGACAGTAATACAATACCTGAAAACCAATAGAAGAAGTTCGCTGTAATTTTCGAAGTTTCTTTGAATTTTGCGGTTTACTCCTTGAAGTTTTGACATGCTATTTTGATTTGCCTGGCAAAACGACTAAATAATGGAGATTTCACAGCAATTGATTGTGATGGAGATATGTGTGATAACCGACAAAGAGCACTGGACAGCTATTTCGTTCTGGTTGGGACTCGTCAGCAGTGCGCACTTTTTGTGTTCCAGCTAGGACTGGAACCGCAAATCTTCTGGTTGGGACTTCAAACTCTAACCTCTAAGGTGCACGGTCGACGGTCATCACCTTGTACCAATGGCTGAATCAATTTAGAGTATCAAGCTTAGATTATCCCATTTGATTCTTCAGAGGACCCAGGCACTCCTGATGGTCTTGGATGTGAGAGATGGTTAATTCCCCAATAGTTGAATGCATTTAAGTGCGATAGAAATATTTGTGATAACCGACAACAAAGAAGTGAAACCCATACCCAAGATCATCAAGAGTGCCTGGTGTCTCTGAACAATCGAATGGGCTAATCCAAGCTTGATACTCTAACATTTTAGGGCGGTGTTTGCAAGTTAGTTTGCGTTCCAGACTGTATTTACTAATCTCTGCTTTATGTGGGGCTTTGAGCACCACCCTCAGGTAGGTCCTATTTATCGCTTGAACGATGTCCCGGAATACCCGTTTACATTGTGTTCATACGGGTGTTGAGACCAGTCTAAAGTTTGTCATTCAATCCATTTAACATTTTGTTTCTGTGAGGTTAAGGAGCCATTTTTCTGCCTTCAGGGTGAGGCACATCAAGCGTTTCTCATCACCAGGCAGATGTTGGTTTGTAAGTGCACATTAGCTTCAACCCCTTTCGTAAAAATGAATATATGAAATCTGACATCCCTGAAAAATACCGCCGTATTGCATTACGAATTAATGATTTTCATAGGTTAAATACAACGACGCCTTGAATTCCATCCGTTTTAATCACTACGACGTTTTCAGTTACTTCGCTTGATTCAGGATGAAGATTGGAGGGCTATGAATCATTTGCTTTGTGGATCATCACCAAGATTTTGGTAGCAATGGAAGCAGCTGATGATCTCATAATCATATTATCGATGCGGTTAACCAAAGATATGGACCTCCAAAAAACAAAAAGGCACTTGTTCATTGCTATTGATAGCCGAGGAAGTATGTCTACTTCTCTGGGTGCTCATTTATGGGTCACACATGAACTACAAAGAAGGGTTTGTTAAATCAAATCAGTATAAATTAAACTACAGTCAAAACTGAAAACATTAATGTATTCCCAGTGTACGCCTTCAAACATTAAGCATGAATGGCATATATTCGTTAGAAAAGTGTTAAGTGAATGTGAAACTTCAGAGAAGTGTGAAAGTGGCAAAAGCAGATCTGTTTTTGTTCGGCACTTCTCATAAGGCCAATACGGTACACAATCGAACACGTAGATATAACCTCGCGTAATAATCCGTAGTGTAAATACTCAGACAGTTATTGTGATAGTTGATGTTGGGGACTGCGTCCGGATGGACCAGTCAAGGATGGGTCAAACTGGTGTATCTGTTCCACAATGTTACTGACCTTAGGCCGGTGCAGCAGTATGGTTTTGACAAATTGATTTTACGAACATAGTGATCGTGGCTGTCCTTTTTACACCCGCATCAGTCTTGATAGAAGACAACTGTTTGCCTGTGAATAAAGTAAAGTAGATCCTACTGGAGAAGTAGTAGATTAGAACAATCAAGACTCCAGGTATCAGGCCAAACTCACAAAGACGTTCGATGAGCACTGTTCAGTCGAGAGAGTCAAAGGCGCTTGTAAAATGAAAAAAGGTAAAAGAGCGGTACCTTCATCTTTGTCTAAAACAGATGCAGTGAAGTGAACAATATGAGCAATATTGTCTGGTATGGGTAGATGGGATTTAAAGGCAAACTCTAAAGGATCGTGGGATTTACATGCGGTGCAGCAAAACATTTTCAAAAGCTTTCAGCAACACAGATGAGCAGGCAATTGGACAGTACTCTGACGATACTTTCTTTGGGATTGGTCCAATCCAGGATGACCTCCAACAAACTTTCCGGATTATAAACATTACATGAACAATTCTGCAATAGGTGTTGCAAGCTCATCGGCGCATCTGTTTAACAAATGAGGTACTAACCGATCATGAACATGAACTTTATTGGTCTTGAGTCCCCTCAAGACTTAGAGGAGCTCATCCGGGTAAGGAGTGTTTATTGCCTCGTGGGTTGGAATAGGAGGTGAAGCGGAGCTTGTGGTAAACCCAGAAGCGAATCGGTGAAGCGAATTGGAACAGAACTTGATGCAAGAGCTACAGAGCTTTCTCAGGGTAGTCTACATCTCACGACAGCTTTTATTACCCAAAACAGTCTCAACGTACTTTCCGTTAAGGCATCTTACCCCTGCTCTAATCAACACAGACCATTCTTTTTCACTGGTATGCCTGCCGGTCATGTAAGTCGTCTTTTTAGCACAACCGAGTCGCTTAAGGAGGGGTGAGGAAAACCTGTCAGTTAGAATGTAAGTGGTTTCAACAGGACAACATTGGTCATAGCAGAAGTTGAGATCACCAGTAAGGTGTTCGCATGACAAAGAGAGTTGATTATTGGAGAAAATATAAAAGTCTGTGGAAGAGACTATGTACCGGATCCTGAACAAATTTCAAGGGAACGATTTCTTTTTTGTAATTTATGAGAGGTGAGTCGCGTATGAAGATTATGGTTAGGTTTGCAGTATATCCTGGGATGAAGAAGAGTGGTACAGTAGTCAGGAGCGCCAATTGGGACTCTTTTAAGATCATGAAACAAATGAGGCTATTTAGGTTTTTGTCTAATTATGTAATTACTATCAAAGATTGTTGATTGGCGATGGCTCGAAAACTTGTCTGCTCGTCTAATCATTCGCAGTAGTGATCATCTTCATCTGCCTTGATCTATGGAAAAGTCTCATACGTGAAATTAAATCCAGCCTACAAATGCATCACTAACTCTCTTGCCAATTTTTTTATCACTTTGGGTAATAAACGAATCAATCCACTTTTTCAGGGGGCTATTTATTAAGTTTTAATAGCAGCTATGCATGGACTTTAATGTTACCGGTTATCATGTCATATTTATTTGACAAACAGTTGACTATATTACTCTATTACGCGACATTTCTAATAAGAAAAAATATCTTTTGCGAATGAATTTAATTTGACTCCATGGGAGCCAAACATGAGTAATGCAACAAGCGTCACAAATAAGTTCCATTGATTTTTTTGCTGTAGTTCCGCCGATTGCGTACATTCATAATAACATACGCACAAAGCTCAACGGATGGTGCAAAATAGACTGGTAAGGCCAAACCAGTTCGCTGTATTAACATAGTAACGGAAATGGCTGAAACACGAACTTGTGAGGATCAGCCGTTGAGTCCTCGCAATTAAATTTAGTCTCAATAGAATAAAATCCTCCACGACCATCAAATAAAAAGCAGTCTTTTTCATAATCTTCCCAGTCGAGTCGTAATCCTGCAAGTTCTTGCTAAGACGATTGGGCTGCGATGCTTGCATCAAGCGCCTAATGGTGGGTTGTGCTATATCGTGTATAGACAAAAGGTAAAACGGCCGAACCAGCTGCCTAGTAGGAAAATCGGGTAGATATGCTTACGGTTCACTGGGTTCGCTTCTCAGTTGACTAGATGGATTCACAATCCTGATGAAGCTCGAGCGATCAGGTCCAAAAGCTATTCAATGTTTCCTAGAATTTCAGTCAACACTTCTTTTGATCCTTACAGGGCGAAATCCACTACTTAACGAATTCCTTTCCTTACATTTTCGAATAAACTAACAGGATTTGGTAAGCTTGACCGCGATAACCCATGTGGTTACTTTCAACGTTCTGTTTAATGCGCCTACAACGATCTCAGCACAAGTAGAGAAGGGGTGGTAATAGATTTCCTGCGGTATTAATTAAAAATAAATTATGAGACCCGAGCAAAATGGGAACCAAGTAGGACCGATTTTGCAGTACATCGATGAGCATGTTCACCAAGTGTTTATTTATGCCTTGCTTGACCCGCTCAATTTCCATTCCCGACAGTCCCTCCTGAGTTCGACACCAATTAAAAATAATAAAGTTTAAGTTATTTTTATGCATGTTCCCAAATTTTTCGTAAAGCACTCAGGTGTTCTGCGTGGTACGTATGTACATGAAATAGTATATTAAAATAAGCAGACCTATTAGGCGTACTTTGAACTCTTGTTCACAAAGACAGAAATTACGCTACAGTAAAAAGAAAATAAAACAAATTCAAAGCGGGTATTCATCAATAATTAGGGTATTTTTATGTTTCAATAATCATAAATTGTTTTGACTTAAATGGAATACATCTTGGATTGTTACCTTTCCATGTATGTTGGAACTGGGATGATTGAGTTAAGATTTAAACAATTATACGAAGGTAGAGCGAAACGGAGTTAGAATTTGTGTTTTCCTTCAAACAGACGGCTGTGGTGTACTCTATCCGCACTGTGCGTAAATTGACCTCAATAGTACTGCTCAATTAGTTCAATCTCATTCGACAACTCTCCACAATTTTATTTGGACGGACAAAACTTTTTCCTCCAATTTCTTAGAACTGGCACACTGTTTTGTTTCTCTGAAACAATTTGGT